ATTTGGACTGGTGCGCGGCCAAAGACTATCTGAGGGAACTTCTTTCAAGCATTAATACCAGAGATAAATATCGACAAATTTGTTATTGATAATTTACCGCCCAATGTTACTCAAAAACGACGTATATCATACATGACGCATGTTTATTTTACTGGCTACGAATAAATGCAACGGACGTATTGACGCCACGGTGCGTTGCCGCGAGTCCGTTTCTTCGTGTATTATTCTCGTAGTATTTGGGCTCCGCATACATTATTATAGCTTTGAACATCAGAGCACGTCCTGTTTACCGACCGTACGTCCTCCCTCACGCTTGGCTCAGCCCACTCTGTTAGTTACAGAGTGATTAAATGCTTCACCGTTCGGAGTTAGAGCGTGGATAGTGAGCACGAGGCCCGCAAACAGAATTTTTTTTATTATTGGTCGCAATTCGACAAATCGTTACGGTATACACTGCGATTCGCGTAGTTGTTCGTGGATCAGGGTTTACTTAGTAACGAGTGTTATAGACGGTGGGAGACAACACGTACCGTGTTGACAGGTCGACAGACCGTCTGGTTATGTCTTTTTTTACCTAATGCAGTCATTGGCACGAGCGAGGCAATTGACAAATTAACGTTCGGTAAAGAATGGTACATATAGACGTGTACCATATATGGGCATGTATGCACACACACACACACGCAACGCACGCACGCCACGCAACGCACGCAGCGCACGCACGCACACACACACATAAAAAACTTAATACTTTTAGCCAAACTGATTTGCTCAAAATAAAGGGTAGTACAGTGCTTCTGAAATTAGAACACAGTTAAGTTCATATATGAAAAGCTATATACAAGATATGACAATTTGCTCTTGTATTAAACTATAGCACCATTTATAACATACAAGAATAACGTGAAATCAACGACCTCTATATGGATTGTGTTGTGTGCCGCGCGTGCGTGCGGGCGCGAATTGTGTGTGTAGTTGCGCGTGCGTCGTGCGCGCGCGATGTGTGTGTGCTGCGATCGTGCGCGCATGTGATGTGTGTGTGTGCGTGTGTCGTGGCCGTGGGTGTGTGTGTGTTGTGTGTGTGTGTGTGTGTGTGTGTGTGTGTGATGTGTTGTGTGTATGTATATGTGTGTGTGTGTGTGTGTGTGTGTGTGTGTGTCGTGTGATGTGTGTTGTGCTGTGTGTTTGTTGTGTGGTGTGTGTGGGTGTTGTGTGTGGTATGCGAGTGCGTGAGTGACATTGCGACAGGGCGGGGCGTCATACATTGCAACATTCATGCGTCGTTATTAATTATATATATATATCAATATAATTACTATATATAATATATATATAAAAGGTTATAATCATGATTTCACAAGGATCCAATATATTAGAATAGAGTGGGTAGCCAGACGGGTGGCAATGCTCCACCGTAGAGAGAGTTCAGCTAACCTAGAGTGTGCTGTGCCCATTGTAGTGTGCTGAATGCTTGGGCGCTCCGAACACTGACTGTGACTCTTACTTTTGCCCCTACGAATCTCTCTATACAGCGACCGACAACCGCGGGACTATCTCCTGTGCTAGTCCCCCCCCCCCATTTCCCCTGCCTCGCACACACACACACCAGCCTACCCTGTTGACTGCAGCTTTACGGAAGAGGCGTTCCGACTCTCGCCGTTCCTACCGTCACTGCGTTTGTTGACGCACCATGCCGCTATTGTACGCGCAACCACCTCGTTCCCGCCCGCCGCGCCCCATCATCATACCAGATCGTTACCCCCACCTGTCCACCCATTACCAAGCAGTTAGTCCCATCAGCTGCGCTCGGTCTGTTGGACGCGAACCCAATAGCGTGCGCGCGTATTGGACCGGGCCACGCACAGCGTGTGCGGGGGAACCTGAGCCCGTGGCGCTGTTCGTTGCCGTATTTTCTTTAATCCGTCACTCGTCGTGCGTGCGTGGTAGAAGCTCGCGGGTTCTGGGAACACACGAGGTGATGCTCGGCTCGGGCGTGCTAGCGCGCCACTAAATTAGGGCGCGACGGAAAAATCTTAAAAGACCGCCGTGCGCGCGAGGAAGATCATGTGCTTGCTGTGCAACGCACGATGACTTTGCATTTCTTGTGCGCCACCGAGCGGTTGTAGCCGGAAGAAATATTGTCGTAAAAAACTGGTAAACGACAAAAGTGTGCGTAATCGCTTTGGTCTGACGGATGGCGCGCTTCCGAGATCGATGAGTGACACGTTTCAGCGTGGCGGTCGTGCGTTCGGTAGTGATCTCATCCTCACATGCTTTAGTACTTACAGCATCGCTGATCTATATATAATTATCATAAGCCGTAAAAGCGTTGGCATTAACTATGTTGAACGTTTTATCCACTGGTTAGATAGTTTGTGGCCAAAGCGTCAAAAATTTCAGGTCTTGAGAATCGATTTTACCTCATAGCGAGCTTCGTGAAAAATCGCGGATTTCTATTTAGTCGTAAGGCCGCCGCACACCAGCCCGATTTTTACAAACGATGAAGCGAGGAAGCCGATGAAGCGATGAAGCGATGTTAGTCGTGTTATGCGCGTCTCATTTGTAGCGATTTTATTTTTATCGGTGATCGTTCAGATCAAATGTTTTGATTTTGAACGATGAGCCGATGAGGCCGATGAGCCGATTTTAAGGCCGCCGCCACCTTACATCGCTTCATCGCTTACATCGCTTCATCGTTCATCGTTCATCGGTTTGTAAAATCGGCTGGTGTGCGGCGGCTTAATACAAATATGGATGGACGTAGTTCAAAAAAAAATGCGCATCACGTAGCACACACACACCACATAAAACCAAACACACACAACACACACACTGCACACACACTCACTCACTCACTCATCACGCACACACACACACCCACACATCGGCACACGCGCACCGCACACACACACACACACCACTCAGACTCACACTTCACATCACACTCACACTCACACTCACACTACACACTCACACTACACTTCACACTCACACTCACACTCACACCTCAACTCACACTACACTCACACTCACACTCACACTCACACTCACACTCACACTCACACTCACACTCACACTCACACTCACACTCACACTCACACTCACACTTCACACTCACACTTCACACTCACACTCACACTCACAACTGGCACACTCACAGCTGAACACTCACACTCACACTCACACTCACACTCACACTCACACTCACACTCACACTCACACTCACACTCACACTCACACTCACACTCACACTCACACTCACCTGCACCACTCACACTCACACTCACACTCACACTCACACTCACACTCACACCACACTCACACCTCACACTCACAACTCACACTCACACTCACACTCACACTCACCTCACACTCACACTACACTCCACTCACACTCACTCACACTCACCTCACACTCACACTACCACACTCACACTCACACTCACACTCAACACTCACACTCACACTCACACTCCCACACTCACACTCACACTCACACTCAGCACTCATCACTCACACTCACACTCACAACTTCACACTCACACTCACACTCACACTCACACTTCACCACCACACAACAACACACACACACACACACAACACACACACACGACACCACACACACACACACACACACTCACTCACTCCACTCACTCACTCACTCACTCACTCAACTCACTGCACTCACTCACTCACTCATCACTCACTCACTCACTCACTACACGCACACCGCACACAACGCACACACGCACACACAACACACCACACACACACACACACACACCGCACGCACCACACACACACACACAGACACACATCGACTCACGACACACGACGCACGCACGCACGCACACGACGCACACTACGTACACGCACACCACACACGCGCGCATATATATATATAATATAAGTAGTATATATATATATATATATATATAATATAAGTAGTATATATATATAGTAATAATATGCGGGGATGGTTTTTTATCGTCATGTAATATTCAATATCTCCCGCTGTCTCTGCTATCAACGCTATCAACTGCTATCAACGAGCTACGTTTATGAAACGCCAGCCCCGAACAAAGCGCAACGCGATTATTAAACCATATCGCCGTGTATGTTTCGTTTGTGTCGAAGACAATGAGTGATAAATTCCCCCCCCCGTGTATAAAGGTGATGAGGAGCTGTTCGGGGGGGGGGACTGGTTCACTCGTCTGTTGAAGTATTTCACGGGCAAGTTGGATTGCCTCGTTGTCGAGCCTCTCACAGATTTTGGGAACAGCAGGCATGAATGTTCGTTGGTGGTGCGATGGTCGGTGTCATAGACGAGCCTGAATGGCTTCTTGGCGTATAGTATAGCGTGTTAGAGTATAGTAGATGACCTGCGACTTCTAAGTCAATCTGAGTTGTCGTTACCCGGTCTAAGTCATTTGAACATTCGAGACGCCCGTTGCTGACCGATAACACTACAGTGCGGCATAAATAGAATAAAAAAGCATAATAAAGCTAATGGTGCAACAACACGTTGCTCATGCAGAGAGAATATCAGATTCTGCGTGCGTGCATCTAAATTGTCCCCGGGTGTTAGACCGTCAGTCATGCTCGCGAGAAGAAGAAGATCTAAGGTTATTGTTGGAAGGGATCAAGTGATGATTGGATTGTCCTTGAAGTCACAACCCACTAGCTCCGTACATGTGGCACCCGCATCCTTCCGGGATAGTTCCCTTATGGTTAACCTATGGTGGCCTAGATGGCACCACTCTCCACATACCCAAACTAACCCTACTACCCCAACTACCCCCGATATATTTATTCATTCGAATGCGCCTGCCTCAGAATCAGATGCCAAAACAGTGTATTCATAATAGTGACGTTTTTGTCGACTCATATATTTGTTCTGCGCAAATTGTTCGGTGTTCTATAACTATATGCAGCAAAGCAGGTTTTTTGCTAATTTTGTAATCAGTGTTTGTATAGGAAACCGCTGATCTATATTTCAGACTGTAGCAACCTCAACCATGAGTTTCCGCATCAAAAAAGTTCTACGGATTTCGCGATACGAGAACGTCAAACCGATATATGAAAACTGCGATTTCGTAACAACCGGCGCGTTGCAGCGAACTCTCTCGATAAACTGCGATATAGCAGCAACAACTGCAACAACAGCAACAACAACAACAACAGCAACAACAACAACAACAACAACAACAACAACAACAACAACAACAACAGACGGGAAGATGCATCGGATGAGAACGTCGGGAAGGTGGCAGACGCCATCTCCGCCGCCTCCGCCGCCGCCGCCTCTCCCTCCCGCACCGCCCGCGAGAAACCTTCCGCCGAGAGCGGGCAGCAGCAACATCCATCCGCCGACCAGCCTGCATGCAGAGCTGCTTCTCTCACCAGCTGGCTTCGCCGCTCAGACGCAAGCAGACGCCGCGCATGCGCAGCAGCACCGACTCTCGCCTCCGCCGCCACCCGCGAAAAACTACAGCGGCGGTTTCGCGCACGACGAGAGAGCGCACGCGCAGATGGTGCGTCTCTCAAAATGGCGGCAGCGCGGCGAGAAGGTGCCGACGCGAAACCCGATGACGTCAGAGGACTCGTGCGGCGACAGTTCTGCGTGCGGCTGCAGCTCGTGTGCGTACGAGTCGTGTGAGGAATGCTCCGAACATGACTTTGTACCGCTGGGCAGCATCCCTGGCAGCCTGGACGCAGCCGTGTTTGCATTCCGTGACGAACATCGCCATGGCAACACGTATTCCGACGAGGAAGCCGAGCTAGGATCGTTCGATCCACGCGCACGAGTAGCAGCCGATCTGTACGATCGCGAGCGCCACCTGGCGGAAGAATTTGAAGTAAACGATGTGGGACTTTGTTCGGAAGACGGTCGAAAAAATTGGATATTAGGAGAAAAGTTCGATCCGTATAAGAGCGCCAATAGTAAACGATTCAATGTGAGGCGAAGTTCGAAGGGAAAGTCGTTCTCTGAACTACAACGCGACAGACACGCCATGGACATAGACGACTGGAAAGATTCGATATGTACGGATTCGAACAAACTAGTTGGCATTAAGTGTGAGGCGAAGTCATCTCTGTCTATTGCTAGCGAACTAAGCGACATTCATTTGCATTCTTCTAACGAAATCGCGAAACTGGAGGTGAAAACGAACTACACCCAGACGCCATTTCCTGAGCAGGTAACGGTCAACAGTATTCACTTGTGTTTTCTATAACGATTCTTTGAAGGCTTAATATAAATAATATATACATAATATAAATAATATAAACATAATATAATATAATATAATATAATATAATATAAGTTTTACTTTGCATAACAACCATGCCTCCCATCTCATTCTGGGCTTGCTCACAGAAAGAATGTTAACCAACGATTTAATTCAACTACGTGTATAATTCAAATAATTGGCCGTTGTCGCAAGCGTGTATCGTATGTGACGTAGATTACCAAAAAAGCTTAAAAACAATGGACTGTGTGCATGTAAAACTATTTCTTATACTAATCTCAACAATATTTAATTGCAAAGTATTTTTTCCTTGTGTGTACAGGATGCGATATCTAAGAGAAGGAACATCCAGAGAATGTCAGTAAGGCGGACCAATAAGAAAGGCCCGCCGGACTTTCTAGTATGGTCTCTGCTGTCGGCTTTACTTTGCTGCACTCCCCTCGGTATAGCTGCCGTGTTCTACTCGTGCAAGGTAGAAACTCTAACGTAAAACATTAAATCTACGCGCATCCACATCCGCAAACTACGCGCATTACATGTGCAGTACATGTAACCGTGTTTACGATCAAATGCACTAGCGGTGCCGCTGCCTACAACCAAAACAGTTGTTCTGAATGACAAAATAATGATTTATATAGCAGTTTAACGCTGGATAATAATAACAACCATTCTCAGTAATGCTTCATAAAGACTCATAAATCGAGATTTCTTGGCTTGTGCGGTGTTGAAGCATCGGCACCGTATCTTACGTGTATATGTGTGTCTCAAGTTTCCTTTCTGACCGCCAGGTACGCAGGCTGAGACAGAAAGGAGACAAGACTGCCGCCTCCATCGCAGCAAGGAAAACAACACTGCTAATATTCTCGAGTGTGCTCATAGGATTATTGATGCTAGGACTCGGCATATTTGCTCTATTCTACTTCAGCCCCGCTGGAGAGTTATTATGGGAAAAGCAGCCGGTCGACTATAGGTTAATCGAAGCTGATTACGGTCGAGAATACAGCAATGCGAAGATCGGAGAAATCGAAATCATTCAATGATTCAAGGCACGGCATATATGACTGTCGTGTCCGACATTATTGTTCGAGCGTATAAATAACAATTAACAACATGTCCCCGTTGCTGGAGGGGCGATTAGTATTATATATTATTATTATAATGACTTCACATGCGTCTAATATTGCGTTGAAGTCTAGCTGAAGCTCTGGTGATGATTTTTTACCAATATAATATTTGCTATGATATTCCTACCGTAACGTTTAAGCGCATTTGGAATAATAATTATAGGTTCTCTCTCCCCACTCACTTTCGCTATATATATATTATATATAAGCATATAAGCTCAATAATTAGAATAAATAATAATAATAATAATAATAATAATAATAATAATAATGATAAACAAGGCACAGTTTACTATTATGTAACATGAATTATGTCTATGCACGTGATTTATAAAAAAAAATTGTTACCCTTGGTATAGTTTCTTTGCTTAATACTTTTATGCATGCTAGCCTGCAAATACAAAAAATAATAAATATGAAGCCATCACTCTTTGATCACTTATATAAAATTCTGATTACGGCCACGTGAACAATTTAAAAATTACAATAAATTAATTATTCGTGTATTAAACGATAGCATTCACGCACCGGTTCAAACAACGTTTCTCACTCTCAATGCTGTTTGATGTGTGTACATCGCCTACCCACCACTCACACACGCGCGCGCCCTCTCTTTCTCTCGCTCTCGCTCTCTCTTTCTTTCTTTCTCCCTCTCGTTCTCTTTCTCTCTCTCTCTCTCTTTCTCTGTTTTTTTCTCTCTTCTTCTTTCTCTC